AGGAGGAGGAGGAGGAGGAGGAGGAGGAGGAGGAGGAGGAGGAGGAGGAGGAGGAGGAGGAGGAGGAGGAGGAGTTAGTAACAAGGAAGAGGGATAGAGAAGGAGGGGAAGAGGAGGAGCAGGAGGAGAGGAGGAGGAGGAGGAGGTGGATGGGCGGGGAGAGGGGCGACGGGATCATGGCCCCAGAGGGGCCTCGGACACCCACCCGCCGCGATGGAGTAGAGCCAAGAAGGCTCCCCCGCGGTTCTTTGAAGCTCCCGAAGAGCCTAAGGTTTGTGACGGGTTGGTGGCATCCGTCTACACGAGCAACGAGCGATTCCTCGTGGGGTATCTGGGCCCTGCTGATTTTGAATCGAAGACGCCTACGGCGAATCACCGCCGCCCTCTGCCTTTTTGGAAGCGCCTGCGTGGTCGAAAGTTGGGTCTGAGCTTGGCCAAGCTATCGGGCCACGCGTTTCCCGAGTGGGTTTCGAAAGCCTTCGGGGAACACGGAGTCGGGCGAGCTATCGGACCAGACAGGTGGTTTCCGAGCTTTCGGGCCTCCTGGAGGACGTCTTGGAGGGGTACAAAAGGTCCCAATCCGCATGCGGTTCCCCCACCCAGCACAGCGTTTCGTGGCCTCAGAGGGAGCTCCACGGAAGAGGTACCCACAATTGCGGTAGTCACAATTTCAGATGGTTGGGTTCTTCGCCAGGCTAAAATTGGCGCCCCCTCCGTCCATCCAACAAGTTTCAAGACTTCAGCGTGCATTTCTTAATGTTGTCGCGCCTACCTTCTGCGAGTCTGCCTCTGCACCACTTGCGCCGAGGCATGCCTGCTGACATCTCGCAGCCGAGGTGGGGAGCTGAGATGTCCAGGTTATTGCCGGCACGATCCTTCAGCTTGCCCGTAATTTCTTTCTTGGGTCGTTAGAGGAGGCAAGGAGGTGGTTCTTGCCTGTCTCGATCTTGCTGTCAAGAACTTCCTTGCTACACCGGATCAAACTGGCGGTGACTTCGCTGAGGTTGCTGACCACTGTCCTCATATTGGGTCTGCGGGACTTCAGCAGGATGTCATCCATGAACATGTAGAGGTCGAAGTTCGGCCTGCCTGGGTTCGTGTGTCCAGCGGGCGCATAATGTACGTCTGGATTAAATACGTAGCGAAGCCATTCCCAGCAGCTTTCCCGAACGTTGTTCCACCCACGCGCGTTCCGAGACCCTTGAGAGTAGCGTATCTCGGGCTGGCGTCGATGCTCAGGATAGTGCGTACGATGCATATTGGGAAGCCGCTGGCTAAGGTTCTGATGGCCAACTTGTGTCGGTGTACGTGCTCGTAGTAATTGCCGAGGTCGTATATTACCATGCCTGAGTGATGTTGTATGTTGTTGCCCTTGAATGTTTCACAATCTAGGCTCTGCCTGAAGACGATCTCGACAATGGAGTGGCCAGCCTGCGGTGCAGGATAGGAGCGACGATGTTGTCTCTCCCACTCCCTGGCGGCACCGTCGAAACCGAGCCCGTGAAAGGTAAAGTCCTGACATCATACCATCGGTCGCATGGTTGCCGCTGTTGCTGGTTATGTCCCGCTGCTTGTGTGTCACGTTGAGCACGGATACGACGCTCCAGATCTCAGTTTGCATTGTTCCCTGGAGCACCGCTAACAGAAACAAACTTGAGGCCACATCTGTTTGGTCATCTTTGATCAGCGCGGGGTGTCGCGGGTGAGCTCCATCCCACGTCGATGCAGTCCTAAGTGGGCAATCTTAGGAGGCTAATTGGAAAACTTTGCCGCAGAGGGGGGCCACAGCAACCTTGTGGTCGATGTTCTGGGGGATTGGGGATGCCTGCGGAGTGCTGGTAACCTCCCAGATATCAGCTAGACGATGGCCTTCCTGCAGATTTCTAGACCACCTGTGAGCCCAGCCGACTCCGCAACCAAGAGACCCTGCACCCATGACGACCACGCCTTCGACGTTTCTAGATGTTCTTTCTGCTGTTCGGTATCGATCACGGTCTCGATCGGGTTGCGTTGGTGGCATCGTCGGTGTACCATTCGATAAAATACCACTTGCACCGTCTGCTACCATAATCTCTCCAAGCTGCTGCATCGCTCTGAGGGCGTCCTGAAGAGACATGGTGCTTCTGAATTCGTCTGGTCAATCCTGAAAGTCAGTGACGGAAGGACTTGCTGATCACAACCTTGTTTGAAGCATGCTCAGTTGATAGCCACCAGCCTGTTACCTAGCCGCTTGGGGCGGGGGGGGGGGCGGGCTCGACGGATATCCAGCTGCCTCTGAGTCTCCTCTCTGTTTGTAGCTCGGACCCGTCTGATCACAGGAGAGCTAGCACGAGGGACGCTACTGTGACGAAGAGTGGTGTATGTGATGAGACTTACGCTTCTCCCGAGGGCCTTGATGGTGGTACAGTAGTCGGTGTCCAGGACGCTACTGCTATTCTGCTGGCTTAGCGGCTGTGGGGCATCTGTTAGCAGAACTTCCGCATGCTGCACTGTTTCTTCACTTTGAAACCAAAGTCATACCTCAGGTTGTTGTTCTATTGGCGCCTGAACTGCTGGGAGCCGCTGAGGCTCGATCAGCATTCGCACCAAAACATGACCAACGCCTGTGAGCTGTATGCTGGCTGGCCTGTGAGGAGACAGCGGGTAGTGGTCCCGAGTGTTGACGTCTTGGATTTGCTCCCTGAGGAACTCGTTGTACAGAAAATAGTGCAAACCTGAGTTGGTTCGTTTGTTTTGGCAGGTCGGGACCTGAGGGGCCACCAATGTGATGGAGGCTCGGTGCAGAAAGTCCAGACCTTCTGTACGAAACGGTGCGAGGCTGAAATCCACCGCGTGTATCATCGGAGCCGTCTCCAAGTCTTGCTGGACTGCGACGTCTGCGAGCAGGTCCAGATTGACTTCCCCGAGTCCATCATAAGCCTTAACATGCGGACACCTGAGTCCTACCTTGGGCATGCAAAGCATGTCCAGCAGCACGCTCGTGAGCCCGCTGCGGTCCACCTGCGACGGGAATGACATGTTGGACACGCCGAAGTCGAGGTCGTATTTGACAATAATCGCAACTCCGCTGACAGTCTCGCCGTCGTCGTTGAGAGCTGCTGGTGATATGTGTGCCAGCCATCCCGCACGCTGACACCAGTGAACTTGCTTCGCAATAGCGTCCCCATCTCTGAGCCTATGTTCTTGGACAACAATCAAAGACACTTTTCGCGCATGCTTGGTGATAATGGATGTCTGGAAGATGGTCCAGCAGCCGCCGTTGAAGTTGATCAGCGAGGTCCGGCAAAAGACGCGGCGGAGTGGAACTTGATGCCGCGGCTATGGTTGCGCTCGCCGGTCCTTGAGCGTCTTGGCTGAGCCGGCGTCCCTGGACTCAGTGTGCTTGGACACGCAGTCGAGCTCGGCTGCTGCACGTTGCAAATCTGTTAAAAACTGTAAAGCATGCCATCTGCTTCGCCATCTCTATCCTCTGAGACCGTCGTGGGCGTGCCGCCTTCTCTGTGATGGCTGCTGCTGTTGCTTCTGGTCCCGAGATGGGGCGGCGACGGGGGGTCTCTGACTCGGCACCGCAGGTTGCTCATGTGCTCTGATCTTGCAACATGTGGAACAGCTGGCCGACCTCCTGCATCCTGTTAGACAGTACCTGTGGGATATCGCCGCGCTGGGGCACGTTGGCCCGGATGGCGGCGTACAGCATCTGGGTGAGGTCGGTGGACTCGGATGCTTCCCGTGCAGCTGCCGTAGCAGCCATGGCCAGTTGCGCTTCCAGCATCTGAAACTCCTGGCGGGGTTCAGCCTACTCCTACAGGCACCACTTGTGTTGGTCGGCCAGCTTCGCGATCTGCTCTTCGATGGACAGGATATCGTCGCTGGTGGCGGCAATATTTGCCTTGATGGTTTGGACCTGGATCTGCTAGTCAACGCTCTTGCCTCTGAGCCCCGCTTGCTGGGCTTTTGTGAGAAATTCAACTGCGTCAGTATACTCTTTACCCTGGAATCCCACCAATTTCTTCCAGAGCGATTCTTGAGCCTGAGCCAAGGAAACTGGGTCGGGTGGTCCTGCTGGTGCAGCCTGTTGTGGCTCTGGTTCATGATCAGCTCATGGGGGGGAAGGCTGACGAGAACGGGTTCGACGCCAGTCACCAGGCTTGAAGATGTCGTACTTGTCCTGCTTGTCGGTCTGGTCCTCATCATGATGCCCTCCTCGTATATGGGCTGGCTTCTGGTAATCGGTGCCGCACTTGCTACACCATCCTGTCCGGTTGACGCAGCTCCCACTAGCGCATCCTCGCTCACTGCAACAGACGTACCGAGACATGGCAGGACCAGCCCAGACATCCGGCTGCTCTGATTTCTTCGATGCGTGGGCCTCGGAAGTCCTGACTACGTACTTCCCCAGGGCCTGTTTGTTGCACCGAGTTGTTTTTTGTACACTCCCGAGGCCCGGCGAGGGCCCCCAGAGGCCGAAGACATTCCAAAAACCGCATGCTCCAATCTTTTCGGAGCGCCGGATCTCTGAGAGTAGAGCCCAGCAGAGGGACGGAATGATTCGTGCTCTTTCCTGCGGGTGGTTGAATGGTGCAGTCCCGTGAGCGGGGCGTGGGAGCAGACTCGTCGTCCGAGCCTGGCCCTGCGAGCCTCGCTCGCCCCTCGGCGGCGTCCAGGCTTGCAAAAGCGCCAGGGCGCACGCCTCGAACTTGAGCCAACTGGCTACGGAGGAGGGGGGGGGTGGGGGGGGGCGGGGGGCGGAGGGAGGATGGGCGAGGAGGGGGGGCAGGAGGGGCACGAGGTCGAAGGTGATCAGGAGCAGCGCTCCTGGTCGAGGGAGCACTGCTCCTCGCCCGCTCTCCGTGCTGCTCCTGGAGCAGCACGGACAGCGGGCGAGGGGGTAGCGCTGAAGGCTACACCGGCTACGTCCCGGGCAAGCAGGCAGAGAACATCCTGGGTGCCACGCACACCCGGGCCAACGCGTTGGCCCTCGCCGCGCTCAGTCGGCAAGGATGGGTCGGTCGGGGACCAGCGTAGGATCAGGAGGAGGAGGATGAGGAGGATGAGGAGGCGGAGGAGGAGGAGGAGGAGGAGGAGGAGGGTGGGGCAGGAGGAGGAGAGGGTGAGAGGGATGAGGACATGGCAGGGGGATGCGAAGAAGGGGGGGGAGGAGGAGGAAAGAGGGGGGATGAGGAAGAGGAGGAGGAGGATGAGGAGGACGAGGAGGAGAAGGAGGAGGAGGATGAGGACGAGGAGGAGCAGGAGGAGCAGGAGGAGGAGGAGAGTGGGGGGGGGGGGATGGGGGGAGGAATGGTGATGAACGGGTAGGAGGAGGGACAGGAGGGGTGGGAGAACGAGACGCGGAAGGGGCGGATGATAGGGAAGGATGATGGGCCAGGGCCAAGGGGTGAGACGGCGAAGGGAGTTACGTTGGAGGAGAAGGAGGAGGAGGAGGAGGAGGAGGAGGAGGAGGAAGAGGAGGACGAGGAGGAGGAGGAGGAGGAGAAAGACGGTGGAGGAACAAGGAGGCGGTAGAGGGATGTTGCGGATGCTGCGGATGACGATCCGATCCCGGCGGCGACAGCAGCGAGGAGGGGAAGGAGTGGGAGGAGATGAAGGAGTTCAATGCGGAAAAATGGCACCTTTGCGGCAGAATGCCCAACACAGATTTACGATGGATGCCACGATTTGGGTTCACGATGGGGGGACCACGATGGGGGGATTTGGATACGTACTGACGGGGATAGGGAAAGAGACAGGGATATAGGGGCAGGAGCACATGGAATAGGAATAGGGATAGGGCTTGTGATGGGGACAAGGGAGTCAGGATATGGATATCGGCTAGGGATCAAAAAGGGACAGGGATAGAGGAATAAAGGGATAGATGGATGGGGCTAGGGATCAGTTTTCGAGGGACGGTAAAGGGATGCCACAGGAGTCCACGGGATGGCACTGGAGGCCACGGGAGGCAACGAGAGGCAACGAGATGCAACGGGAAGCCATCGGAGGCCACGGGGGGCTACGGGAGGCCACGGGCGTCCCCCGATTCCAGGTCCAGCAGTTCTCCCTGCAAGTTTCTTCTATGTCGCCGCGCCGTTTGTTCCGACGCGCGGCCTTGCGTCTTGGGGAGGGCGCCGCGGCCACCAGGGCAAACGCCGCCTCGGACGCGGTGGGTTCGCCGTGGGGTTTGCCGCGGTGCAGGCGTCGTCTACCTGGGGCGCGGGGCTTGTTGCGGGTTTGCCGTGGTGTCGGCGTCGTCCATTTGGGCGTGTCGAGGACAGGCGGCGGGGCAACAGATGCAGAACTTTTACAGACAGGCTGTTTAGGGAAACGCCCCGACTCCCATGTCTGCCGTTTATCCAACAGTCATTTTTGCGTTCACTGAGCACTGCGCACATCCATGCCTTGCCGCGATCGTTGAAGAGCTTCGGCTGCCGGGGTGCTCGCGTACTCTGCGGTTGGTTCGTCCGCCTTGCTACGTCGTCGACGGCGGCGGCCACGACGGCGGCGGCGGCGACGGCGGCGGCGACAGCTCAGCGCCTCCGGGGGGCGGTGGAGGCGAGCCTGCGGCGGAGTGCCCCTACGCCGCGCGGACCAACCACTACGGCCTGACGAACCGCCGGATGGGCGGCGATGTTCCCGGCTACACAGGCCCAGGGGTGGGTTCGGTGCGAACGTCAGGGGCGGAAAAGAGGGGGGTGATGGCTAGGGGGGGGGGATCATGGCGGGGGCCATGATATTTCCCCAGATCTCATGGCGCCATTTCTTGTTTCATTACGTCCCTGGCCCGCCCGCTGGGCCGCGCACATGCCGCCGGTCATGATTTGCACCCCCCCCTCTTGGACACCCCCCTCTTGGCCGCTCCCGAGAACGTAACGGGGATCAGCGCTAAAAGTGGGGTCAGCCGATCCCTTCCGAGATCCTTTGGCTGGTACCGGGTTTGGAGGCCAGCTGGCGTGCTGATGAATTCCCTCGACACCAGAGGGAGGCGCAGGGGGTGTGTACTACCTTATCCGCGCCGTCCCTCGCAGGCCGTATAGCAGGGGTGACATTTGCTCGACACCAGGGGGTGCTCAGGGGGTGGGGGCTATATCCGCTTCACGCTCGCAGGGCATGGTAGACAAGGCACTTGTTCGACACCAGAGGGGGTGCGAAGGGTGCCAAGGGGGTGGGGGAATCTATCCGCTTCATGCCTCGCAGGGCGTGGCAGGCGTGGCACTTTCTCGACACCACAGGGGGTGCGCAAAGGGTAGGGCCTGGGCCTCTATCCGTTTCACCCTCGCATGGCGTTGCAGGCGTAGCACTTTCTCGACGCCAGAGCGTGTGCGAAGGAGGTGTGGTCTCTATCTGTTTCACGCTCGCAGGGCGTGCCAGGCGTGGCATTGTCTCGGCGCCAGAGGGGGTGCGCATGGGGTGGTCCCTGAGCGCGGCTTCTATCCGGCGCGCGCACGCGAGGCGTGGCTCGGAACGATCACAATGAGGTTCCTTATCCTATCCGCAGTGTACTGGTTGATTGCATCAACGCAGCAGATATAAACTACGTGTGTGTTTGTGTGGGTGGTGTGTGTGTGTGTGTGTGTGCTTGTGTGTGTGTGCGTGTGTGTGTGTGTGTGTGTGTGTGTTGCGGTGTCTCGGTGACGTGATTTCACGACCGGGCCCCAGGAAGTCCCGACCCTTTCCCAGGGCCAGCTTTTCAACCAGTGCCATTGTTCACATGCTTGGGGCCCAGCGAGGGCCTCCAGAGGCCAGAACGACGAAACATTGCCGCCTTGATTTTGTTCACGACGTCGCATGTCCTAGGAGGGGGGTCGAGGATAGTTTTTGTTTGGGAGAGTGCGCTTTTTTGGCCTGTGTCTGCCTCTCGTGGAATCTATATAGACTTAGCATGTCACTCCTTGGAGGTGTAGTTCCGCATTGGCGCTAGAATATCCATGGCTGAAGACTGACCGAATCCAGCCTATTCCCGCCAAGTTTGGCTTAACTCCGTTTAATCTGGTCTGATCCTAACACTGCGTTGAAACAGAGGAGAGGACCCCCCCGTCCTCTCTCAGGGTGGAGAGAGCAGCGCTCCTGGCAGCGAAAGATGGATTGTTCGTCCCCGGTGGCTGCGGCGGCTATATGGAGCTGCGGCGTTTGAGCGTTTTGTGATTGCTATGATGCGTGTGATGTCGAGAGACGTGGCTGCAGCAGTCTTGGACAGCTCAAGCAATCAATGCTCGTAGCCCCAACGGTGTCACATCGATAGCCCCTCAATCAGGCTCAAGTCGCCCTGACTCCTTCTTGCGAAGCCCTCCCAGGAGGTGCATACCAACGGACGCCGGCTACAAGGATGCCCCATCTTTCGTCCTCCATATCTAACGCGTTTTCATTGCCTCGCAACACACGAATGCTTCACACACACACAGCACTACTTATACATATATGTACATACAAATGTAAATCTATACAGAGAGAGAGAGAGAGAGAAAGAGAGAAGCCACGGCCTCGCCCGCCAGCCAACCCGAAAGCCCACAAGCACCCCCATTTCCAGTGGGGGGGCGGGTCGGCTCGCTCGCTTGCTCGCGGAGCCCTCCAGAAGAGTTCCCCAGGCGGATGCCGCGGGCAGCGCCGATGCAAGAAGTCGGCCCAGAGCTTCGAAAGTGTCACCTGATGTATCTAGGCCTCGTAGATGGGGTCGGAGCAGATGGGGTCGGAGGATCGCGCCGCATCGCCTCGCCGATGCATCGCCGATGCGGCTCGATGTGGAACCCGATTTGCCTCACACCGACGTCGCCGATGCATCCCCGACGTCGACGATGCATCGCCAGTGCATCGCCAGTGCATCGCTGGTGTATCGCCGGTGCATCGCCGGTGCATCGCCGATGTATCGGCGATGCGGCGCGATCCTCCGAACCCCATCTACTCCGACCCCATCTAGGACGCCTCTTGTTCCCCTCTCCGCTGCCGGGGGAAGGCTTCATCCCCGGCAAGCACTCCGAGCAGGTTCTCGGCACCACCTTCGCCAACAGCAACGCGAACGCGCAGGACTGCTCGACGGCGCTGCGCCGCCCAGAGAGGCATCGGGGGGGGAGAGGAAGGATGGAGGAGGGCTGAGGCCTTCTAGGCCTCCTAGATGGGGTCGGAACACATGGGGTCGGAGGATCGCGCCTGATCGCCGATGCATCGGCGATGCATCAGCGATGCGGCTCGATGTGGGGCCCGATTTTCTCCACGCTGGCGTCACTCGCCGATTCATTGCCGATGCATCGCCGATGCATCGCCAATGTACCGCCGATCCTCCGACCCTGGACGGGGGGGGTGGTTTCTCGCACCTCTGTCTGTGCCCTAACTTCGATGGAGACTGCGGTGCGGGGGCGCACGGGCTGCTGAGACTGTGCCGCAAGAAAAGCGTCGCAATGGTGCGTCGGGTCGGTATCGTTTAACCGATCCCCATCCCCATCCCCATCCCCTTCGAGACCCCCACCAAATTACCGCCCCAGTTGGGGATACACCCCTCGAAACCCGAAGGGAACGACCTATATCCCCATCTAGGGGTGTA